GTATTATTTATTTTAATGCTTATATTCTGCCATTGTTTGATTATTGTTGCAATATATGGGGAAGTTGTTATGAAAGTGGACTAAATAAACTTAATAAGTCATTAAAGAAATATGCTAGGGTAATAGTAGAAGCTGACATAATGACATCATCCAGTTTGTTGTTTAATAGTTTAAACTGGTTAAATGTGGAAAAACGCATTCAATATCAAAAGGCATTACTTGTATTTAAATCATTAAATGATATGGTTCCTAACTATTTACAAGAAAACTTTCATTTTATTGGTAATCAGAATTATAATTTACGTTCAGCTGATGAAAAACTATTAAATCTTCCGAAACCAAAAACAAACTTTTTAAAGAAAACATTTACATATTCAGGTTCTCAAATATGGAACAGTTTACCAAATGAAATAAAAATGAGTAATACACTTGTATCTTTTAAAACAAAATGTTACACATTTTTCATCAATTGTGCAAATTAATATGCTTTTTCATTATTATCTAGATATAATTGTATATTGTGTATAATATATCATTATAATACTGTATGTACTTATAAATATGTTATTATTATTTTGAGGACTCTCAGGAAGATTAGTTTTAACTAATGGGATTATCCTCTTGAAATAAAGATTATTTATTTATTTATTTATTTATTTAACAATAATTGAATTTATGGGGTTCTTTGATATGCTGATTCTAACCATATATTTAGATTTTTGATTAAGGGCCCATTTATCAAATATGTCCACATTGCGGTCCAAAGGGTCCAAAATTAAACTTTGTTTGTTTTCATCAAAAATTGAATCCTTGGGGATCTTTGATATGCTGATTCTAGCCATGTATTTAGATTCTGGATATTGGACTTAGCTAATGTTGTCCATTTATAAGTAGATAAATCAAATTCTTGGTGTACTTGGATATGCTGAATCGAATGGGGAACCGTGTATTTAGATTTTGGATATTGGACCATAATAGGTAAAAGTCTAATTTCAAGTTTTTCAGTTCTTTGAACACATTCATTCTGTGTCAGAAACCTATGCTGTGTCGAATATTTAATCACAATCCAAATTCAGAGCTGTATCAAGCTTGAATGCAGTGACCATACTTGCCCCAACTGTTCAGGTTTTGAGCAGTTTTCATGAAACTTTGGTGACTTGTTTATTTCTATTATAACAAGCTCCCTTTAGTTTTATATAAATTTCTGATATGACATTGCAGAGTTATGGAACTTTATTCGTTGAAAAATCATTGTTTTGTGTCGATGGGTACCACTGTGTGTGCATGTCTTCTTTTTTTTTTGGGGGGGGGGTCTATTTGAGCAGTGCTCACAGTATTTCTAGTTGATCATATAAATTCATTTTTTTATTAAGCATAAAGACGAGCTAAAAGGGTAATGTACGTATCATGCGCTCATGGCGCAGCTCTTTATCTTATTATATTATCATGTAAATATAATTCATAAGAAAGAACTTATAACAAACGTAGGACCAATTTCCATATGAATGTAACTATTTTCAAAAAAGTCTTCCAATCTTTACAAAAATTAACAGTTACAAAGCTTGATATGTATGTTTACTGAATAAAAGGGTATGCGGGGTATATGTCAATGAGACAACAACCCAATGACAATAATAATAAAAAGACATCTTTGATGGCATCATACAGTCTTCAACAATAGCTATGTGTCTTTAAAATATGCTAAGCTGTAAATTGTCCCTAGTCTATAATGGTTGTGAACCAATTTAATAGAAATATACAAAGATCTGCCATTAAAATGCAATTCTGACTTTGTCACATAATTGTGTAGTATTTCTGAATAAACAACAGAGATAGATATATTCTTAAATGGGTCTGTTGTATTTCTGAATAAACATTACAGAGATAGATATATTCTTAAATGGGTCAAGATGCGCAATTCATTTCCCATAGGCTACAATGGTAGCCTTTTTTTCCATTCCTCTGTCAATATGGTAAACTTGGATATGTATGATGGCTCGTTTCGAAGCTGAAACATTTTCACACGTGGTTAAATTTTCGAGGTACGAAGTAAGATTAAATTTTTCACAAATTGGGGAACCCTGATAGGCCCAAACGTGATGCCGCTTCAGCAAGTGAAAAGTCCTTATTTTCACACAGTTAAATTCTCCGGAAATTCTGTTCTGTACAATCATTTAATAACTCTAAAGTTTTTACATCTTTGTTGTACAGTCTTTTGCTCTTCAAAAAAGCACAAATGGTTAAGCTCAGTCAATTACTAAAAAATTCGTAAGGGTTCTGCGGAACCCAGTGTCTCGCCTACTTTTGCTGTTAATCGCAGGCTCAATAAAAATGAGGAAAAAAATCAATAAAAATATTCCTTTAGATACTATCTTTTGATTGTAAGAAGCTTCTGTCAAAGTTTGGTATAAATCCAGGATAGTTTATGAATCTAATAAATGTTTTAAAAACTTTAACTGCAGACTGTATTTAATGTTAACTGGAAGAAAAACTAAGTCCATTTATAAGTAAAATACAAATAAACAGGTACAAATTTTAACAAAATTTCCTTCTAGATACTAGCTTTTGATCATAAACAAGCTTCTGTCCAAATTTGGTACAAATCCAGGATAGTTTAAGAAAGTTATTAAAATTTTAAAAACTTTAACCACAGAGTGAATGTATTGTTTCCTGGCAGAAAAACTAAGTCCATTTATAAGTAAAATACGGAAAAAATGAAATTTTTTTTTTTTTAAATTTACTTCTGGATACTATCTTATGATCATAAACAAGCTTCTGTCCAAGTTTGGTACAAATCCATGATAGTTTAAGAAAGTTATTAAAATTTTAAAAACTTTAACCACAGAGTGAATGTATTGTTTCCTGGCAGAAAAACTAAGTCCATTTATAAGTAAAATACGGAAAAAATGAAATTTTTTTTTTAACAAATTTACTTCTGGATACTATCTTATGATCATAAACAAGCTTCTGTCCAAGTTTGGTACAAATCCAGGATAGTTTAAGAAAGTTATTAAAATTTTAAAAACTTTAACCACAGAGTGAATGTAATGTTTCCTGGCGAAAAACTAAGTCCATTTACAAGTAAAATACGGAAAAACAGGAATTTTATTTTTACAAAATTTACTTCTGGATACTATCTTATGATCATAAACAAGCTTCTGTCCAAGTTTGGTAGAAATCCAGGATAGTTTAAGAAAGTTATTAAAATTTCAAAAACTTTAACCACAGAGTGAATATTTGTGGACGCCGCCGACGACGCCGACGGAATGTAGGATCGCTATGTCTCGCTTTTTCGACTAAAGTCGAAGGCTCGACAAAAAAGCATCATGTCCAATTTCATTGCATACAGGTTTTTTTATTCTATTTATAGTTTGAGTACTTCACTTTGAGGCGCATTAGGGATATTGACCCAAATATGGTTTAAAAATGCAATTCTGACAGATTTTGATATTGTTTTAGTATATTTATCCATTACATTAATGAAATCATTTCAGTGCTGAAATTTACCCAAAAATTCCAAACAAAAACATGTAGAATATGCAAAACTGCATTCATGGGTAATTTATTAACATACAACTTTTTTCAAAATCTTTTTAGTATACACATGTATTATTTTGCCTCTTTCATTAATATTTATCAATTTTGGGATATTGAACATGTGAATGAAAAAATTTATGGGAGGTCCCTTTTTCTTTTCCATTGAATTTATTATCTTTTCGATTCACATATTATTGTAAGTTGTCACATCATTTATGATCTTTCAATTTATCATTATACAATCTTAACTTTGCATTATTTTAGAAGTCAACACCAGAAAGCTTCAATTCTGCACAAACATGTGTGATCCTATCACTCTGTCTTAACTTTACATTAAAAGCTTCAGCATATCCTTTTGTAAATGTCTAATACATGAGAGCTGTGGTTGTCCATATGTCTATATGATATCAAAGTAAGCAAATATCTGCCCTCAACACCATTTTCCCAAATAATAAAGACCAAAAACATTTGGATAAAACAAAAGACAAACACTTAAGACAGGCATATGAACATGTTTTACTTTTTAGTTGGTTTTTTGTCGAGCCTGCGACTTTTGTCGCAAAAGCGAGACATAACGATCCTACATTCCGTCGGCGGCGTCCATAAATATTCACTCTGTGGTTAAAGTTTTTGAAATTTTAATAACTTTCTTAAAATATCCTGCATTTCAACTAAACTTGAACAGAAGCTTGTTTATGATCATAAGATAGTATCCAGAAGTAAATTTTGTAAAAAAAAAATCCTGTTTATCCATATTTTACTCATATATGGACTTAGTTTTTCTGCCAGTTAACATAACATTCACTCTGTGGTTAAAGTTTTTCAAATTTTAATAACTTTCTTAAACTATCCTGGATTTGTACCAAACTTGGACAGAAGCTTGTTTATGATCATAAGATAGTATCCAGAAGTAAATTTGTTAAAAAAAAAATTTCATTTTTTCCGTATTTTACTTATAAATGGACTTAGTTTTTCTGCCAGGAAACAATACATTCACTCTGTGGTTAAAGTTTTTAAAATTTTAATAACTTTCTTAAACTATCCTGGATTTGTACCAAATTTGGACAGAAGCTTGTTTATGATCAAAAGCTAGTATCTAGAAGGAAATTTTGTAAAAATTTATTTCCTGTTTTTCCGTATATTACTTATAAATGGACTTAGTTTTATTCCAGTTAACATTACGTACAGTCAGCAGTTAAAGTTTTTAAAACATTTATTAGATTCATAAACCTTCTTGGATTTTTACCAAACTTGAACAGAACTTCTTACAATCAAAAGATAGTATCTAGAGGAAAATTTTTAATAATTTTTTCCCCATTTTTGTTGAGCCTGCGACTAACAGCAAAAGTAGGCAAGGCACTGGGTTCCGCGGAACCCTTACAAATTTTTTTGTAATGTTGGTGTGATGTCTCATTGACAAAAGTAATAAAAATCCAATAATCTGTTATATTTTTTGTCTGTAGACAGATCATGGCACTGAGTAATCTTCTGGTGTATGATGGATTATTGCAGTGTGGATGTGATGCAGTAGCTAGTGGTCAGTTGAAGATGGCCACTGATCAATTTTCAGAACATTGGTTAAATCAAGTGTTCAAGGACACCCCATACAAAGCTACCATCTTTATAGATACTTCAGAGGTAAAGACATATTTGGCAGTTTTAAAATAAATCAAGTGTTACTCACTTTGTAAAAGACATTTACTATGAAATTCAGACAGTACATTGATTTTTAGCTCACCTGGCCCAATGGGCCAAGTGAGCTTTTCTCATCACTTGGCATCCCTCATCTGCGTCCGTTGTCCGTTAACTTTTACAAAAATCTTCTCCTCTGAAACTACTGGGCTAAATGTAACCAAACTTGACCACAATCATCATTAGGGTATGTAGTTTAAAAAATGTGTCGGATGATCCTGCCCTCCAACCAAGATGGCCGCCATGGCTAAAAATAGAACATAGGGGTAAAATGCAGTTTTTGGCTTATATCTCTGAAACTAAAGCATTTAGAGCAAATCTGACATTGTTGGGTTGCTGCCCCTGAATTGTTAATTTTAAGGAAATTTTGCAGTTTTTGGTAATTATCTTGAATATTATTATAGATCTAGATAGAGATAAACTGTAAACAGCAATATTATGCAGCAAAGTAAGATCTACAAATAAGTTAACATGACCAAAATTGTCAATTGACCCCTTAAGGAGTTATTGCCCTTTATAGTAAATTTTTAACAAATTTTTGTAATCTTTTACAAAAATCTTCTCCTCTGAAACTACTGGGCCAAAAAGAAACAAACTTGGCCACAATGATCATTAGGGTATTTAGTTTAAAAAATGTGTCCGATGACCCTGCCTTGTCAACAAATATGGCCAATGTGGCTAAAAATAGAACATATGGGGAAAAATGCAAGTTTTGTCTATTATTTTGATAACCGTTTTAAATAGAGGAAATCTGAAAGGGTAAAATTGTTCAGAATGTTGAGCTCTACCAATTGTCCATTTACATCAAAACTGTCAGACGATTTCCTGTAGGAGTTATTGCCCTTAAATGACAAATTTTACCACTTTTTTTTCATTTTTGCCTATTATCTTGAAAACTTTAATAGATAGAGAGAAACTTAAAATTGCAAAAATGATCAAAAGGACAAGTTCTACAAATAAGTAATATGGTTGAAATCATCAGTTGAATCCATTTAGAGTTATTGCCCTTTGATGATGATTTGTACATTTTTATTGGGTTTTTATACGCCCGTTTACGGGACGTATTATGGTATACCGTTGTCCGTCCGTCTGTCCGTCCGTCGTCAACATGTTGGACATTAACTCAAAAACGCTTTAACCAATTTGCATAAAACTTTGGTGAATTGTTTATATCTATTGACGTGAGCTCCTTTTCGTTTTTTATAAATTTTAGATTTTATGTTTCCCAGTTATGGGGTTTTATTCATTAAAAAAAGGGGGATTTTCCAGTTTTTGGACAATAACTCAAGAATGCTTTCACCAACTTGCAAGAAATTTTGGTTAATTGTTTATATCTATTGACATGAGCTCCCTTTTGATTTTTATAAATTTTAGATTTTACGTTTCCAAGTTACTGGGTTTTATTCATAAAAAAAAGGGGGATTTTCCAGTTTTCGGACAATAACTCAAAAATGCTTTCAGCAGTTCTCATGAAACTTTGATGAATTGTTGATATCTATTGATGTAAGCTCCCTTTAGAATTTTATAAATTTTAGATTTTACATTTCCGAGTTATGGGGTTTTATTCATTAAAAAAGGGGGGATTTTCCAGTTTTCGGACAATAACTCAAATATGCTTTCAGCAGTTCTCATGAAACTTTGATGAATTGTTGTTATCTATTGATGTAAGCTCCCTTTAGAATTTTATAAATTTAAGATTTTACATTTCTGAGTTATGGGGTTTTATTCATTAAAAAAGGGGGGATTTTCCAGTTTTTGGACAATAACTCAAAAATGCTTTCAGCAATTCTTATGAAACTTTGGTGAATTGGTTATATCTATTGATGTAAGCTGCCTTTAGAATTTTATAAATTTTATTTGTTTATAGTCTGACAACAGATTTAAGTATTGTGCAACAGCATAGTGTATTGCACTCACAATAGCATGAAATCTTTAATTGAATATAAATTCAATTCATATAACCAATTTCAAGTTCTTTGACTACATTTATTCAGAAACCTATAATATGTCAAATATTTAATTACAATCCAAATTCAGACCTGTATCAAGCTTGAATATTGTGTCCATTTTTGCCCCAACTGTTCAGGGTTTGACCTCTGCGGGCGTATCCAGCTGCGCTCAGCGAAGCAGTTTTATTGTCTTATATCTTAAAACTTATAATAGATAGAAAGAAACTTAAATAAACTAAAATGATCAGCAAGACAAGACCTACTAACAAGTCAAATTTTGCCGATATAATTAGTAGACTGTTACTCTTTATAGGAGTTATTGCCCTTAAATTAAAAATTTGTTTTACCCTCTTTTGTGTTTGGAGCAAAAGCTAAATAAGATAGAGAGAAACTAAACAGACTTCAATGATCAGCAATATAAGATAAAAAAAAAAGCAAAGATTTTTGTCATTAATTCTATTCTCGTCTACAATGTTGGAGAGTGTCCTTTGTTGAATATGCATATAGACCAAGGTGAGCGACACAGGCTCTTTAGATCCTCTAGTTCTATATCATGCAAGCTGTGTTTAATGTTTCATTTAACTTTCATTTCTAGATACGTAACAGTTTTCATATTCCCATTGTAGACAGGGATGCATTATGATATAACTTTGTCCATCTCTCTGTCGCTCCATCCATGTTTTTTACAAAAGTAAGCTAACGCTTTGATAAAATTTCATGAAACTTGTATTGAAATTTTGAATTGGTGAAAAAAAAACTCCCTTTTCGATTTAGAAAATTTTTCAGTTAGTCATTCCAGAGTTGCAGGACATTCATCATCAGATTTAAGCCAAATTTTCACATATCACACACTTAAACTTTACTATACTTGGATTGATTTACTTAAAACTTAAGAGTGTTCTTATAATATCAGTGTTGAAAATAATTCCCTTTCAATTTTGAAAATTATTTGATTTGTCTTTCTAGATTTAAGGTAATGTCACACACTGACTCATTTATGATTGGATTGATCTACTTAAAACTCTACAGTGTTGTTGGGATTGGTAAAAGTAAGCTCCCATTTGATTTTGAAAATTTTCTGGTTTGTCCTTTCATAGTTTGATAAGGGAAATAATTGGTCAGGGTTATGTAAATTTTTCACATACCTTGCATCTTCTTGAGTATGCTCTGATTGTTTACTTAAAACTTCACACAACTATTGAGATAATAAAGTAACCTACCTTTTCCCATACATGTGATGGACTGTGAAACTCAGATGAGGAGATTTGGAAATTTGGTTAGGAGTTTAGACATCAGATCAGGAGGTTTTTTATCGACATTTATTTTGTCGTATTTGTTACTGTTTGATATAAAAAATTGTCTTTTTGTGTGTATTTTTTTTTTTCATTAATCTTCCACCTGAATGTTACATATCAATGTGTTTGCAGTACGCATGTAGTCTGTCTATTTGAATGATATCAGTTGAAAGAAATATTGAGAAGATTAAGTTTCTGGTTTTATTTTTGATTGTTGATTGTTGCTTGTCGACTGCTCGTAAATAAAGTACTATGATTTAACCTTTCCTTTGAGCTGGTATAATAGTCCCAGCTTTGAGTACAAAGAGAAAATTAAAGCATAGTGTTTTATTCATGCCTCCATACTTTTGTCAAGCCTGCAACTTTTGTCTCGCAGAAAGCTCGACATAGGGATAGTGATCCGGCTACAGCGGCGGCATTAGCTAACTTCTTAAAAGCTTTATATTTTAGAAGCTAGAAGACCTGGATGCTTCATACTTTGTATATAGATGCCTTATGTTATGAAGTTTCCGTCTGTCATATGTCCATTGTCCTTGACCTCATTTTCATGGTTCAGTGACTACTTGAAAAAAAAGTCAAACATTTTTTGTAATGATAATTTCTTTCTTATTATGAGTAATAGGATAACTATATTTATTATGTGCGTACCTTGCAAGGTCCTCATGCCCGTCAGACAATTTTCATTTGACCTTGTCCTCATTTCATGGATCAGTGAACAAGGTTAAGTTTTCGTGGTCAAGTCCATATATCAGATACTATAAGCAGTAGGTCTACTATATTTGGTATATGGAATGATTGTAAGGTGTACATGTCCAACTGGTAGGTGTCATCTGCCCTTGACCTCATTTTCATGGTTCAGAGGTCAAAGTTAAGTTTTTGAGTTTTGGTCTTTTTTTTAATACTATATGGAATAGGTCAACTATATTTGGTGTATGGAAATATTTTATGATGTACATGTCAGTCTCACAGGTTTTATTTGACCTTGACCTCATTTTCACGGTTCATTTCTCAGTGTTAAGTTTTTGTGTTTTGGTCTGTTTTTCTTCAACTATAAGCAATAGATCAACTATATTTTTTGTATGGAAGGATTGTAAGGTGTATATGTCTGTCTGGCAGGTATCATCTGACCTTGACCTCATTTTCATGGTTCATTGGTCAATGTTAAGTTTTCATGGTTAAGTTTGTTTCTTAGATACTATAAGCAATAGATCAACTATATTTAATGCATAAATTGATTGTAAGGTGTACATGTCTGTCTGGCATGGTTCATCTGACCTTGACCTCATTTTCATGGTTCATTGGTCAATGTTAAGTTTTCTTGGTTAAGACTGTTTCTTAGAAACTATAAGCAATAGGTCAACTATGTTTGGTTTATTGAATGATTGTAAGGTGTACATGTATTTCTCGTTTTGTTTATCTGACCTTGACCTCATTTTCTTGGATCATGTTAAGTTTATGTGTTACTTGTAGTAAAGCTTTATATTTAGGACTATCAACATAAAATCAATGGTTAGTAAAGAAGACGAGACATTTCAGCGTGTGCACTCTTGTTTATTTGTATTCAATATCATTGGCGTAGATATATAAGAAAGAAATATGCATGATAAATAGATGAAAAATTAACAAACAACAACAATAGTTATGCATGGTTTTTAAGCATTAATAAAGTCATTTTGCTAGAAAACTTAAGACTGTCATTGTTTCAAGCACTGTAAAATATATTAGCTAAAGCACTGTCTATATTACATTGACAAATGTTATTTTGATAACTAAAGCACTGGTTTTGGAACAATAGATCATGTAAGAAGAACAAGCCGACTTTGCTGCCTTTAATAAACTTCACTCAGTACTCAAGTAATCCTCATCCTGGTAACAGTTAGTGCAATTGTTAATCTTAACATTGAGGAGGCTGTGAATAGTCTTTGAGTCTATGTTTTTCTCTTGTCAGTTTGGATCTTCTTGTGTGTGCTTAATATCTTTTAATGTGATGGAGTGTGAAATAATGAGTATTTCTTCGCTGAGTTGAAAGCTTAATAAATGTTTTTTTCAGCATCAAAATCTTCCTATCAATGTTTTGACAACAATATTCCACTTTTCTATCAATGTTGGTATTTACCTTTAATCATCCTTGATGTGTGACATAAACAGAAGCCATATCGAGTTATTAATATCATATTACCTGTTGATTGTTCAATCAAAATATTATCACTTGTTAATTAGCCGCAGGCTAGGTCAAAATCTACACATATTGCATAATCAGGTAATATCAGTTACACCAGATATGTTCGATGCACTCAGGTTTTTATGTCTTCAATAATAAATATTTGTATGGCGGTCTGAAAATTTTGATTCATGAAATTTTTAATACACAGGATTTTTTTCTCTCCAATGGGAGGAGACACTGAAAACGGGATTGTTGTACTCCTGTCGGGAGTCACATGTATGTTTTCCTGTTGAAAATTTTACTATTTGTAATTCCAGAGTTATAGGACTTTTAACACTCAAATTTAATGCATTTGTATACCCCTTAGGATATCCTCCTGCAAGTTTTTCTGCATAGACATTTTGCTGACTTGATTTAATGCTTCTACAATATTTATAGATTGATATATGTCTTTTTCCATATTTGCCCTGTTATTATCCTGAGATGATGATATCTCCCAGAGGGCTAACCCCCAAGTGCTTAAATATCAGTTGAGGGACAATCACCGGGCAGATATGGAAAAAGGCATGTCTTGATTGATTTATCATGTACTTGTGTGCATCAATAATCCTTTATTACTGGTAAAACATGTTTTTAAACATTGGAATAAATACAGGAAATTCAGTGCAAACTTATTCAACATTAACAAATTTGCCACACAGTTTCTGTAATTGTTAGTTTTACATTATTTCTCAAAACTTGACCTAGTATGATCAGAAACTGCAACAAAACTTCCAGGAATCATGTCTTCCTGCTCAGCCATAGCCGATAAAAATATCGTCAACAGATTACATAGGGATGTCAACTCCTTTATGGGAAAATAAAGGGAAATAATTAATCTGCTCTGATGCTGGACCTTAATCTGGTTTGCATTAGGTTGCATAACAGGGCATTATGAAAGGCAAATTGTGCAAGGATTTCTGAACACATAAATGGTTAATAAGTTACATGTAAGGATATTTTTGGTGCAAAATGTTGAAGAAAATCATTCATGTAACATTGAAAAGAATAGTGGTAGTGTGGCATTAGTTTACATAGGTACCGTAAGTAATATTTTGAAAATATTGCTGAACACAGCCTCAATCTTTATTAATTATTCAACTGTATATCAAAATATACATATATTACAAATTATATAAGTTTTGCATGCATAGAAAAACATGACCCGACTCGGCCAACAAATGAATATTTTTTCAAAATCCTAAAATTTCTTTCCTTTATGGTTATAGTTAGAGCAATTGTACCAAAAATATATAGTAAAATATCAGTTTTAACTCAGATTTGAAGCATTTTCATTCAGATAATTGCATGAAAATACAAAAAAGAATTGCCTGATAGCAAGTTTAGAGCAGAAACTGTTAATTCCCTTTGCATATAAGATTTTTTTTTATTATGAAGAGTTACCTTGTTGTCTCGCTTTAAGGAAGTTGAAAAGGCAAGATTGAGGCGTCAATTAGTTTGTGATTAGGGGAACCACTAGTGATAGGTCAATGATATTTGGTATGCAGTTGTATTAGCATTGGCATATCTCATTTCGATGGAGAATGTTGGGCCATGCCCACTTAGTCATGGTCAATTTACTTTTTAAAGTTTTACATAGTTTACATGTTAAAGTTTATAAATAGGCAAGTTTAAGATGAACCATTAATGGTAATCAGTGATATTTGTTATGCAGTTGTATCAGTATTTGCAGTTCTCGTTTCAATGGAGATTATATGGCCTGCTCCCTCATTATGGTTCTGACTGAAAATTTTGCTTAATTAAAAATATTTTACCAAGTATCGTTCAATATTCAACAGAAATATCTAATATTTAAAATTTAAAGATTATGAATTTGTGTTTCATGAATATGTATTTTTACAGGTGCAAGCAGAGGAGTCTAAAGATAATTCTGGTATGGTTGTTAATTTTGGTGAGAGCAAGATTGTACAAAAACTTGTCAGTACATGTCTCAAGGTATGGCTTCAACATCAAAACTTTACAGTTTCTTGTTGAACTTATAATCAGATCCAATACAGTATATTGTGTATTCATATAGTAAAACAAATAATAGGGCTTTCACATTCAAAGTCATATGAAATGAGTTTCTTTTAATTATTATGTTAAGGAAATTATTGAACCAATTCATGCCTAAATATACTAAATTAAGTCCTCTATGCATGTTATTTTACATTTATTATGAATCCATAACACATAATCAACAACAAATATTTCACTCAGTGATTGTTTTTTAAGTGAGCTTTAGCTGCTAATTAATTTTCAGGTTTTGTTGCTGAAATAAGTGAGATGACTGAGCGATGTTTATATTTTTTTTTTAAATAAAATTTCCCCATGTGCTTCCATTTGTCAAATAAAACTTTGTCATAGCAGTTGTTAAATAATTGGTGTATTAAATTTTTTCTTTCAGCATCACTTTACAATATCCACCCACGTTTGTTAACCTTTTCTTTCAAGGTGGTTTTTCCCTCGCACTTTTGCTGTGCGGTTGCAGAAGTTCTAATGACAGGTCTTGTGGTTAAAGTCACTGCATACGGAAAAGCCATATGTGATTTACTTTTTAGATCATCTTGCCCAAAAGCTGTCATCCTCTGTCTTGAACTCTTTTTAAATCTTCTCCAAAAATAATGAGCCCATGCAAAGGAATCTTTAACTGATTGATCTTCAGGGAATCTAGATTATGATTTATTATTTGAATAACAGTCAATCAACCAAAATGGCCAGTAAATAAAAACTTTTCATAAGTATCTTAGCCAAATTTAGGATTGAAAGATTGATTTCTAGATAGCTTTATATTTTTGTATGACCAGTCTACATTTTTTTGCTCACTCTGATCCTCCATCCTATTTCAGATTAAAGGTAGTTTATTCTTGTTAAAGAACATTTATATTAAGTATGTGCCTCCCAAACATGGGTTTGGGGAATTTCTGTTCAGTTTTTTTTTGCATAGGAGGCCCAAAATATGAAATCTCTTATATATCAAACTCTCTAGCAACTTTTTATGTGGAGCCTGCAATATTTATGTGGCGAAAGTGAGACATAGCGATCATAGATCCAACATTTAGGTTCAGTCTGTGGTTAAAATCTTTATGGAATTGTATGAAATTTGGACAGAAGTTTTTTTATGACCAAAAGACAATAATATCCAGAGCAAAATTTATAATTTGATTAGTTTTTTTTACAGATAATATTTAGATACACTCTAAGGTTAAAGTTTTTCGGTCTTAAATAACTTTGTCAAACCTTCAGTTGGCCAGAAGCTTTTTTTTTTTTATCAAAAGGCAGTATCTAGAGCAAACTGATGAAAACAATTTTTTTTCATGATTAAGAAATAATGTCGGAAGCAAAATTTTGAAAAATATAATTATTTTTTTTTATTTTTTAGTATTTTACAGATAGATGGACTTAATTTACAGAACAGTTAGAGGTTAAATTAAAATGTCAATTGTTCGTGAACAATCTAGAACCTCAAATCAAACTTTGACCTTGACCGCAATTGCAAGGTCATGAAACAAGGACCTCAAATCAAAAGACCCTAGGTGTTTTCTATGTATGGTTAATGAGTTATATCACCATACAGCTTATTTTAAATATAAGAGGGGAGAAAACTCCCATTAAATGTCTACATACCCTTTCAACAAAAATTTATGTTTTATGACATGTCGCAACTAACAATTCCGTAAAAATAATTTTTCAATATCTTACACCATTTCTGAAAATAAGTGATAATAAGCCAAAATCAAAAATTTAGAACATGACCTTGACCTTTGACATTGACCTCATTTTCTTTTTAATGGACCATGGACATGAAATCAAAAGACCCTAGGTCTTTATCACTTATGGTTTGTTAGTTACAAATACATTTCACTTATATCAAATATAGAAGGGGAAATAATTCTCATATGGAATCTCTGTATCACTTCGGTCAAAATTAAACAAAATATCCAGAGGATATAACGAGCTATTTGGAAAAATAATTTTGTTGGTTTCTTTTTTAAGATTGTGAAGAAGAAGTCATAACAAGAAAAAGAGTGTTCGGGGAGATAACTCTTACAAGGAAAAGTATTCAGTTAAGCCGTGTCAGTTTCAAAAGCGTAAAAACTGTTCTATATAATACACCAAATATCTAAGCGACATTTGCGAAACAACCAAACAGTGAAAAAAAAAAATTAGGCAGATGAAAACAAATTTAAAAATAATCAGAACAAAATCAAAAGGTCCTTCCACGGAAAAGTGGAAAGACCTAATAATAATAAGAAGAACAAAAGCAATAGGTCTTTCCACGGAAAAGTGGAAAGACCTAATAATAATCAGAACAAAATCATTCGTTTTTTTTCAGAAAATTGGAAAGACCTAATAATCAGAACAAAATCAATAGGTCTTTCCTCACAAAAGTGGAAAGACCTAATAATCAGAACAAAATCAAAAGGTTTTTTAGGCAGTTAAGGTAATTTATGCGAGCACTCTAGATTTGCTTTTTCCCTCAGGACTACTAAAATATGTGCCATTGCCCTTATCTAGAAGGCTGGTAGGTTATGTATAACTAATTGGACAGTTTTTTCATGCTTTTAGTTCTAGAATACAAAAAAATATGTCTAATATAACCTTAAATGATCATCGAACAACCCAAAATCAATGACTTTGCACATTGGAAATAGTGCTCAATGGAAAGCCTTATATTGTTTTTTATCTTCTGCGCTTTTGACGATGTTAAAGAACAATTGTATGAAATATTTCATCGCCGAAAATTTCTATATACCGGTACAAGTTGTTTACATTTGCCAAATGACAAATTGCGCATGAATATCATTTGGCGGTAATTTTAAACTAGTAGACGAAAAGTAGATTTCAAGAATTTATTACAAACGTTTACAGTTTAGCTGTGCAACTTTGTAAACATGAATCGTACCTATTACAGTGTTGTTTAAACGTAGCAGTCATGCATTGATCACTTTAATAACGCTTTCATTCCTTTCTATTATATTATTGCGATTTATTACATAACTGGCCCTGTCAAATGAAGTTGTTGTAGTTAGACAACAAACGATGTAATGGCTTCTAAGATTTTGATCACGTGACAAAAAAAAGAGTTTACCGTGTATGCATTGTTTTGTTGTTGTTTTTTGTACATCGTATCATCTTAGTTTTACTTTTATACATTTAACATTTTATTTTTTGTTATTGATGAAAACATAATTAATTCTATTTCTTAAATTTGCTCATGTACAACACTCGCATCAAACAAAAACATGTAAAGGGCCCTATAAACATATTTTACATACGGGTCATTGAAAAATTTATTTATAGATCGATAACATTCTATTTTTATAATTTATTTTGTCATGGAGACAAAAGGAAGCGCCAGTAAACAACACACAAAAAACAGACCGACTGTTGTTTATAATCTTTATTGAAAGAATTAAAACAATATTATACATGTTATATGAGACAAATATATTTTATTGAATTTAACAAGATACATATATTTCTTTGATTTAACACTTTTTTCGGGGGTTTCCTGTTCTTCCCATCGTGTTTGACACCGTAATTTCAGATTTTGCATATCAACTGCATACCATTTTCGCGATCTAAAAAATGGCAATGTAAGAAACCGAAATCCAATCTACCGGTACTGCTGCCAAGAAAGAATGGTTACTCCTCAAAATTTTTTGGGAAGTGATTTTTACTTCTTCAAAATTTCCCTTGGTCAAAGTTTAAAAAAAGTTATCCGTATTTGGCTATAGTTCCACAACTTCAGACAACAGTGTCAGTGGACTTGTTAGGATTTTTTTAATAGAAAAGAAGAAAAGCATAACTTGTGTACTGTAGAACTTACGTCGACCAAACTCAGTGTTCTCCCCAGGCCAATATAATATTGGAAAGTGGTCCTTAGACATATCAGTCTTACCGACCATACGGTATGGGTTTTTGTCGAGCCTGCGACTTTTGTCGCAGAAAGCTCGACATAGGGATAGTGATCTGGCCTGGGCCGCATTAGCTAACTTCTTAAAAGCTTTATATTTTCTAAGGTGGAAGACCTGGATGCTTCATACTTTGTATATAGATGCCTTATATTATGAAGTTTCTGTCTGTCATATGTCCATTGTCCTTGACCTCATTTTCATGGTTCAGTGACTACTTGAAAAAAAGTTAAGATTTTTTGTAAAGTTAATTTCTCTCTCATTATGAGTAATAGGATAACTATATTTAATATGTGCGCACCTTGCAAGGTCTTCATGCCTGTCAGACAGTTTTCATCTGACCTCAACCTCATTTCATGGATCAGTGAACAAGGTAAGTTTTCGTGGTCAAGTCCATATATCAGATACTATAAGCAATAGGTCTTCTATATTTGGTGTATGGAATGATTGTAAGGTGTACATGTCCAACTGGCAGGTGTCATCTGACTTTGACCTCATTTTCAGTGTTCAGTGGTTAAAGTTAAGTTTTTGTGTTTTGGTCTTTTTTCTTAAACTATAACCAATAGGTGAACTATATGTGTTGTATGGAATGATTGTAAGGTGTATATGTCTGTCTGGCAGGTATCATCTGACCTTGACCTCATTTTCATGGTTCATTGGTCAATGTTAAGTTTTCATGGTTAAGTTTGTCTCTTAGATACTATAAGCAATAGGTCAACTATATTTAATGCATAGATTGATTGTAAGGTGTACATGTCTGTCTGGCATGGTTCATCTGACCTTGACCTTATTTTCATGGTTCATTGGTCAATGTTTAGTTTTCCTGTTTAAGTCTGTTTCTTAGAAACTATAAGCAATAGGTCAACTATATTTGGTGTATTGAATGATTGTAAGGTGTACATGTATTTCCAAAATATTAGCCTTCTATATAATATTTTGTGTAAAAAATGCATCCTAAGACTGAAAACTCACTAAGTCACCTTTTCAAAAATTCTCATTATAGATATATTTGTTTTTTTCAATTATTCAACACCAATA